TCACCGACTCAATGGGCATGGGTTTGGGTAAACTCCGGGAGCTGGTGATGGACAGGGAGGCCTGGTGTGCTGCGATTCATGGGGTCACAAAGAGTCGGACATGACTGAGCGACTGAACTGAACTGAACAGATCGATATGGTTAGGTATAGATATAGACACATGCCTATAGATAAAATTAATGTATAACATTATTTAATTTGAAGCATACAACGTATTGATTTGATATTTGTATATATTGTGAGATGATTGGATAATAAGTCTAGTTAATATGTATCACCATACATAGTTACACTTTTTTTTTTATTGTTTGTGATGAGAACTTTTAAGATATTTTCTCTTAGCAACTTTCAAGTATACAATACAGTATTATTAAGTATAGTCTCCATGCTATACATTACATGCCCATGATTTATTTTATAATCCAAAGTTTGTAATTTGCCTCTGGCAACCATCAATCTGTTCTCTGAATCATTAGAAAGTGAAAGTTGCTTAGCCGTTTCTGACTCTTTGTGACCCCATGGACTATACAGTCCATGGAATTATCCAGGCCAGAATACTGGAGTGGATAGACTTTCCCTTCCCCAGGGATCGAATCCAGATCTCCTGCATTGCAGGCAGATTCTTTACCAGCTGAGCCACAAAGGAAACCCAAGAATACTGCAGTGGGTAGCCTATCCCTTCTCCAGCAGATCTCCCCTATCCAGGAACTGAACCAGGATCTCCTGCATTGCAAGCGGATTCTTTGCCAACTGAGCTACGAGGAAAGATGTATCATTAGAGTGGTTTTACAATCTATAGAGTTGTAGGAATGAAAAGTAAAAAGGCAGATTCCTTATTTACAATAGGCAAGATATGGAAGCAACAGATGACTAGATAAAGAAGCACACACACAGGCACACACAATGGAAAACTACTCAGCCATAAAAAAGTGTAAAATGTTGCCATTTGCAACAACATGGATGGATATGGAGGGTATTAAGTGGACTAAGTCAGACAGAGATAGATAAATACTGTATGGGATCACCTATATGTGAAATCTAAAATATAAAACAGACTAGTGAATATAACAAAAAAGAAGCAGACTCACAGATATAGGGAACTAGTGGTTACCAGCGGGGAGGGGGAAGGGGAAGAGCTAGATGGGGATAGGGATAGCTAGATTAAGATGTTCAAACTACCATGAATAAAATAAATAAGCTGCAAGGATATATTGTACAGCACAGGGAACATAGCCAGTATTTTATAATAAAATTATATTATAAATGGAATATAACCTCTAAAAATTGAAAATCACTATGCTGTATACCTGAAACTCATATAATATTGTACATCAACTATATGCCAATTAAAAAATTCAGATTCCTGTGAATGCTGAATCAGGAAGTCTGGAGTGTATATGCTATGGGGTTGAGTGATGGAAAGGAATATACATTTTTACCAAGTCCTCCAGATGCTGTCTTTGCTCTTCTGAACCTCTCTGAACACAGGGTCTCTTATGTTCCCTGGCGTTCTTCCTGCTGAATCATTTCTCATCTGCTCTCTAGGTCTTCAGTCTGGTTGTGTCCACCATTATCTGGGCTCAGTATATGGGCCTTGGCTTGGATTGCATCCAAGCAATGGTTGTATCAAATAATTATATTAAATACTTGTCTTTAGTGGCTAGAGTTGTGAAGAATATAGAATAAACATGGCTTTGATATATTTTAAGAGCCAAGTTATGTAATTATAGAGCATAATATTTGAACATTTATAGTCTCTCAATGAAAGTTTAAAAAGTAGCTTATATTTGGCTCTGGATTCTGTTAAGGACTGGCCTAACCAGCCCCATTTAGGGGTGCTCCAAAGCCGCCTCTATGGATTAGTTAAATATGTGATTACAGTACTGAGGATATTTCAGCATTTAGTCAGTCTAAAAGACTCTATTAATAGTCAAAGAGAAATAAAGTTTAATTGATAAAATTGTGGAGTTTGTTTTTGATCATTTAGTAACATGAAGAGTATATGCAATATATGTAAGAAAGTCTCTGTATAGGAACTAACAGTAGGCAAAAATCTAATAGTCACACACTACTTTGTGTACTCAGGACTGTATTATTTTTTCTTTTTCTCTTTTTAAAAAGCAGGTTTATTAACATATGATTTACATAACATAGAACTCACCCATGTGAAATATACTATCCAGTGTTTTTTAGATATTCTGTCCCTAAGAACAATATGAACCACATCTGGGGGGGAGGGGATTCAAATCAAAAAGGTACTTGGGAGTTTGAGAATCTTCCTAATTGTTATTAAAAACACATCACATAAAAATATCAAGGTTTTATCTCAGATTAATTCTTTGGTATAGATTTCTTTCCTCCTTTGTTTTGCTTCCAAGGTAAGAGGGGCTGTGAATATTTCAAAAGACCACATGAATTCCTAAAACTTTTGCTGTTGTTTTAAAATTTTTGATGATCATCCCAAAGTACATTATTTGGTGGTGAAATCTGATAAAGACAATTTAATTTTTTTATAGGAAAGCTGTTGATGTGGTTGAAGGGAATTGGAGAAATAGTAAGCAAAACTTGGACAGAAAATCTACCACATTTCTTGAGTTGAACCACCATAAAGAAGAACCTTGTTCAGCTCAGATATTTTCTTTTCTCCTTATCTTATCGTTAGTTATTATTAACAAGTTCAGATGGAGATGTACCCAAATTTGTAAATGATTTGTATGCTGTTTTTCAAGTTACAAAGAAAGAAAACTGGCAGCTTTTAAATAGAACTTTTAAGGAAATAGAAATATTTTTTTATTATAAGTCTGAGAAAGATAGAGATGAGGAATGCTCCTGTTTTCTTTCTTCTATGAAAACAATCACACACTGCTTGGAATATGACCAGATTTCAGTTGTTATTGTTCTTACCTTTTATGTCTTTTCTGTCAAGTGACCCACCAAAGACTGTCGCATTTAGAATACTTTCAATCTCTAATCTTTAATACAGCTTGCTCCTGAGACGAAGGCTGTCATTCATTGGATTATGGATATTCCTTTTGTGCTCTCAGCCAATCTTCATGGAGGAGATCTTGTGGCCAATTATCCATATGATGAGACACGGAGCGGTAGGTGTTCTTCCTGTTTCTTTAATTGATTCAAGTTTTACAATTATTTTACAAGGATTTATTGAATGATTTCTGTAATATTCTTTTAAGGAACTGGTTGTTCAGTGATTTTGCCTATAGAAATACATCTGTTTAACTGGAATATCCCTGTTTCATGCGGCATTGGCATATACCTGGCAAAAAAAGACTGTAATAAAAAAAAAATTAAGTGAAGAGAAGCATAATCACTTAGGTAAGAGAAAGGGGAAAAAAAAAAAACAGAAGTCATGAACTTGGGTAACTCTTGGATTCCAGTAAATGGAGGAATAATAGATCTATGTTGTTTTATGTACAAGACAGCTTAAAACTGAAGGCAAACTTTTAGAACTCCATCAGAGGCCCATGAATATCTCTTCATGTGTCTTATTATGCATTCACACTTCTACATTTTGGAACTGTTTCTTGGCAGTGTCAGGGAGAAGAAGTGATGCTTTGATTTTCTTTAACTAGTTTTAGCTAATCTTCAGCCACAGCAAACTTTAGCCAGATAGATATTCTCAGCTTAATTTTTGTTGTTCCAAGAAATTACCTGCTTTGAATCAATTTTCAGGAGACTTTGAAGAGTTAGGTCTTTGTAATACAGAATATTGTTGTTCAGCCTCTAAGTCATGTCTGATGCTTTGTGACCCTGTGGACTGCAGCATGCCAGTCTTCCCTGTCCTTCACTGTCTCCCAGAGTTTGCTCAAATTCACATCCACTGAGTTGGTGATGCCATTCAACCATCTCATCCTCTGTCATTCCCTACTCCTCCTGCCCTCAGTCTTTCTCAGCATTAGAGTCTTTTCTAGTAAGTCAGCTCTTCATATCAGGTGGCCAAAGTATTGAAGCTTCAGCTTCAGCTTCAGCGTCAGTCCTTCCAATGAATATTTAGTGTTCATTTCCTTTAAGATTGACTGGGTTGACCTCCTTGCTGTCCAAGGAACTCTCAAGAGCCTTCTCCAGCACCACAATTTGAAAGCACCAACACAGGATAGTTGTATATATTGGAAACTTTGAATTTTGAAGATTCTTTGGTGAAACATCCTTGAAATTTAGAGACTTTATGGTTTGTCAATAGCTGGGAGGTTTAAAGGACTTATATATTTGATAAAAGAGAATAAGAATATTCTGTGCCAAAATATATATTATTTATTTCAGTGGTAGGAGATTTTTAAAAACTGTAAATTCAGATACTATGTGTGACACTATGTGTGACAGTGGTTCACGGTGCCTATTGGATTTGTACAGGTGCAATTTATAAATTAAAAATTTTAACATGGAAATCTCCTTACTGTCTTCCCAAGTCCAATTTACTATGTGCTTGTCACCTTTTCTTGTGAAGCTTTCCATTCATTAGGAGAATGTACATTCTACTCAATTTCTACTTTGTGGTATCAGGAGTGGACCTTATAAAACCTGAAAGAAAACTAAGTGTTATTGTTGAGAACTTAAGCCTTCACTCCTTTCCCATAGTGATGAGCTAAAAATGCATCAGTAGGAGATCAACACTAAGTCCATCTTCAGGAAACATGCAGTGCTGGTTTGTGTCGGTTTCTTTAGTGTTGTGGCTTTATTTTCCAGGCAGTGCTCACGAATACAGCTCCTGCCCAGACGACGACATCTTCCAAAGCTTAGCTCGGGCGTACTCATCCTTCAACCCCCCGATGTCGGACCCAGATCGGCCTCCATGTCGCAAGAATGATGACGACAGCAGCTTTGTAGAAGGAACGACCAATGGTGCTGCATGGTACAGCGTGCCTGGAGGTGAGTTTCCCTTTCACTCTTCATGTGAGTAGTGGCTTTTAAAAAATAATTACCGTTTATATTTAGCTTTTGAACTGTGGTATGAGAGAAGACTTGAGAGTCTCTTGGATTGCAAGGAGATCCAATCAGTCAACCCTAATGGCAATCAGTCCTGAATACTTATTAGAAAGACTGATGCTGAAGCTGAAACTCCAATACTCTGGCAACGTGATGAGAAAAACCGGCTCACTGGAAAAGACCCTGATGCTGGGAAAGATTGAAGGCAGGAGGAGAAGGGGACGACAGAAGATGGGATGGTTGGATGGCATCACCGACTCAATGGACATGAGTTTGAGATGTAGAAGAGACATAGGAGAGGAACTGAAGATATCCACTGGGAAAATACAAATTGAACACTGTTAATTACCCTAGTTTTCAAATTCTGGCCTTAGGGAACAAGATACCATCATGATTATATGTTAGTCATGCTTAGACATAGGTAAATGTATATTTTAGAGGGCTAGCTTTGGCCTTTAGCATATCTTGGTTCACATACCTTTTGTTTTTACTTAATAAGTTCCACTTCATATGGGATGTTTATTCATTACTGCAGTAAGTACTGTTATCAGTTCAGGAAGCTCTACACATTTTATTGAGTCTGGAAATGGAAAAACCCACCTCAGCACAGCTGGAGGAAGCATTTCTAAATATCAAGGCAGCTCTTACAGCTCTCTGTTCGAGTATGAACTTTGAAGAACTCTTATTTTTCTGGCTACCTGGATCATTCACATTTGTGTAGTATCACCTCTACCAAGGATAAAGAGTGAAATGTAAAGATACTGTTTTTTCCTCTGCCTAAGAACAATTTTCTGTGGCCCACCTGAAAAGGAAAGTGAAAAGAGAATTAGGACAGTAGCAGTAGTGGCTAATTATAGGACTTGGTTTGTTTAATAAGATTTTGTTGTTGTTGTTGTTGAATTATGCCTTGATAAATATATTCTTTCAGATATTTTTCTTTCTGATATNTTGTAGGTCTGCATAGAATCGTTCAACCTCAGCTTCTTTGGCATTAGAGGTTGGGGCATAGACTTGGATTACTGTGATATTCAATGGTTTGCCTTGGAAATAAACAGAGATCATTCTGTCATTTTTGAGACTGCACCCAGGTACTGCATTTTGGACTCTTCTGTTGACTATGAGGGCTACTCCATTGTACAGTATGACCTCATAACTTTTTTACATTATATGTAATAGTTTGTACCTCTTAATCTCCGACCCCTTTCTTGCTCTTCTCACCTTTTCTCTTCCCACTGGTAACCACTAGTTAGTTCTCTATATCTGTGAACAGATTTATTGGGGACTGGTGACCCACACTTGGATTATATTGATGATAAGATAGACCCAGAAATAGTAGAAGCTTATGAAAAGTTTTGTTTGTAACCAGAGCATAAGCAAAAATGGTAAAATTAAATTTCAGCATATACATTTTATAAAGTAGTTTAGATTATGGTGATATATGTTACTAACATATGCAACTTTAATTTTGTTTAATAATCTCTGCCAAAATAAACTTTGTTACCTATAATGTATACATAAATGTATATGTATAGTAGTTTATTGTGTGTATGTTAGTCGCTCAGTTGTGTCCGACTCTTTGGGACCCCATGGACTGTAGCCCACCAGGCTCCTCTATCCATGGAATTCTCCAGGTAAGAATACTAGAGTGGGTTGCCATGCCCTTCTCCAGGGGATCTTCCCAACCCAGATATCGAAACAGGGTCTCCCTCATTGCAGGCAGATTCTTTTACCTTTGTGTCACCCAGGAAGCCTCATAATTTATTCAGTTAATTCCACTGCTTTGGCTGCATAACACTGATTTTGAAATAAAAGAAATATTGAAAGTAAATTTTGCCAGCTGATTAGAAGCTTATTCTTTAAATTCTACTTTTCTTGGCGGGGGGGAGTCTTAACCTAGAAGTACATATTACTGCAAAATGCAGCATCCTTTTAAAGATATTAGTATTATAGCTTTCATTTAGTTTTACTTTGTGTCTTGGTGCATTGAGTTTCAAATATGAATCACAGTCATGAATATCTTTGGCACTGAAGTCTTAGAATAGATCACTAATAACAAATTAACATATCCAGATGCTGTTTGATATCAAGGGCATCTAAAATGGGATTTATAAAAAGACTTAGAACTCCCAACTAAATAACCAAGATTCTTCACTGAGGATTTATTGCAATTCTAGAATTGTTCATTTTTTTCACCTAGCCTCATTCTCTAAAGCCTAGAATATTATTCTGCTTTATTTATATGACTTTACCACTTTCCCACTTTATAGCATGAATTTCACTGACTCTTCTACTAGAGAATTTTAATAGCTTTTTGTCACTCAAGTTTCCATCTGCTTTATTACTGATAAAGCTTGAGAATTACTTTTCTAATATGTTTGCTATAGTATGGTACCACTCCAGCCCTATTTTAGTAATATTTTTACCTAAAGTCAAAAATCTTTTTCCAACTAACTAAAAGTTAAACTTATGTACAGAAGGATTGCTTACAAATATGCATGCAAATTGTTTTGTTACTAGCACACTGTTTTACATTTGGTACATCTTTGTCTGCTAATATAGTTAGCTTTGTCACTTTTCTGCTTGTTTGTTCAGTCTAGATTAACATTAGAATTTGAAAATAAAATTTAGGTTTGTTTCCTCTAAAAAAAAAACACCTAAAAATAGAGCTACCATATCATCCACCATATCAGGAAAAGATGAAAACTCTAATAGGAAAATATACATGTACCCCAATGTTCATAGCAGCATTGTTTACAATAGCCAAGACATGGAAACAACCCAAGTGCCCCTTAACAGACAATTGGCTTAAGAAGATGTGGTATATGTATATACACACACAATGGAGTATTACTCAGCTGTAAAAAAAGAATGCAATATTGCTATTTGCAGTAACAGGGATGGGCCTAGAGAATATTATAATTAGTGAAGTAAGTCAGAGAAAGACAAATATTATATGATATTACTTAAATGTGGAATCTAAAAAATAATATGAATGAATCTAAATGCAAAACAGAAACAGACTCACAGACATAAAAAACAAACTTATAGTTACCAAAGGGGAAAGAGAGGAGGGGAGGGATAAATTAGGTTAGGAGTATGGCATTAATAGATACAAACTACTATATGTAAAAATAGAGAAGCAACAAGGATTTCCTGTATAGCACAGGGTAATACATCAATATCTTGTAATAACCTACAGTGGAAAATAATCTGAAAAAAAAGTAAAACTGAATCACTATGCTGTATACCTAAAACACATTTCTCAACTACAAGAAAAAAGAAAAAATGATATTATACAGTATTAATCTTTCTCTGCAGAGAAGGCAATGGCAACCCACTCCAGTACTCTTTCCTGGAAAATCCTATGGGCAGAGGAGACTGGTAGGCTGCAGTCCATGGGGTCGCAAACAGTCGGACACGACTGAGCAACTTCACTTTCACTTTCATGCATTGGAGAAGGAAATGGCAACCCACTCCAGTATTCTTGCCTGGAGAATCCCAGGGACAGTGGAGTCTGGTGGGCTGCCATCTATGGGGTCACACAGAGTCAGACACGACTGAAGCGCTTAGCAGCAGCAATCTTTCTCTGAATTTTTTCAATTAGCACAATACCTTCTAAGTCCATCCATGTGGTTGGAAATGGCAAAATTTCATTCTTTAATGTCTGAGTAGCATTCCACACACACATGACATCTTCTTTATTTATCTTGATTGACACTTAAGTTGCTTCTATATCTTGGCAATTATAAGTAATGCTGCTATGAACATTGGGGTGTATTTACCTTTTAGAATTAGTGTTTTTTTTTTTTTTTCAAATATATACCCAGGTGAGTGTTCTGATTTCATTGATTCAAGACACTCTTTTCTCCATTATATATTCTTGTCTCTTTTGTTGTAGATTAATTGACCATAGGTGTGTGAGTTTATTCTGGGCTGTCTCTTCTGTTCCATTGTTATATACGTCTGTTTTTGTGCCAATTCCACACTGTCTTCGATTATTGTAGCTTTGTAGTATAGCCTGAAGTCAGGAAGGGTTATGCCTCTAGTTTTGTTCTTTTTCCTCAAGATTGCTTTGGCAGTTCTGGGTCTTCTGTGGTTCCATATAAATTTAGGATTATTTGTTCTAGTTCTGTTAGAAATGTCATGGGTAATTTTATAGAGATTGCATTAATTAGATTTCTTTGAGTAGTATGGCTGTTTTAATAATGTTAATTCTTCCAATCCAAGAGCATGGGATACCTTTTCATTTCCTTGAACCATCTTCAGTTTCAAGTTTTCAGTATATAAGTCTTTCATCTTGTTGGTTTATTCCTAGATTTTTTTAAAACACGATTTTAAATGAAATTTTTGTTTGCTTTCTATTTCTGAGGTTTCATTGTTAATGTATATTTAAATTTTTTGTGCATTTTGAGTTGAGATTTTTGTATATGGTATAAGATAAGGGTCTAATTTTATTTTCTGCTTGTGGCTATTCAGTTCCTTGTTCTAGATTACATTCGACTTTAACTCATGTATTTTCTTTTTCTCCATGATTTGCTTATGTCTTTGGCCCTTGTTTACAGTACATGGACATGGAATTAAACAATTATGCACACGCACACACACAAATGACAGGGAGGAAAAGGATGATAACTATGAAGAAAGAGAAAGAAACAGGAAAGAAGAGCTTTTGCAGTTCAGATAAGACTCCCAGGATGGCTCTGCACACAGTGTTTCAGACAGAGAGGAGGTCATGTTGCCGACCCATTTCTCCACCCACACGGAAGACCACTAAGTAAGTGCCAGACCCTTTCTGGGAAGATCTTTGCTACCTCAGAGTCTGCCAAATGAGCTGGGAAGGAAATAAGAGGATGGAGCCAACACTGGACAAGCTCAGCTAATAAAAGTCTCCAGGCTCAGTGGCCTTGATCAAAGCCATCCACCCTTCTAATATATTTACCAACCAGTTGCCAAGTCTTTTTTTTTTAATGTTTCCTCTTCTCACAGGCTATCAGCTAAGGCTCCTATTTTATTTGGGGGGGGCATTAGTTGAATTTTCCTTCCATGACCTTGAAGCCTTTATTGCTAAAGATTTCCTCTCAGTACTGATTGTTTTGATCAGAAACTTAAAAACGACGATGAAAAGGTCATCTCTCGACCTTCTTTCTTGCTTTCCTGGAATTTGGTGTGGCCTAGCCAGAGGTGTGTCTCAGGGCTCAGCAGAGCAACTCTTCCACCTTCGCTTCACTCCCAAATCCCTCAGCACTGCTCTAGGGAACTACATGGAAAATACTAAGAAGTGTGTAAAAATAAGGAGTTTACCATCTAATTGAGAAACACAAAATACACATATACCTACATACATACCACATTCACCCATGTACACACACACACACACACACAGACACAGGTCATACTTCCATATGTATATATTTTAATTTATTTATTTTAATTGGAGGCTAATTACTTTAAAATATTGTAGTGGTTTTTGCTATACATCTACATGAATCAGCCATGGGTGTACATGTGTCCCACCATCTTACTTCCATATATTTAACAGTGACTTGCACTGGAAATAATGTGTGTTTGGGATCCAACGAATTGGTCCCATTTTAAGAGCAGAAAGAGCTCAGAAGACAAGAGTATTGTGAGCTGGGAAGGCTTCTTCCAAGAGATAGAGATTGACTTAGAACCTGAAACACCTGAAAGTTGATGGGAATTGGCAAATTGCATTTCTTTCTCCATCAAGTAGACTAAAAGCATACAGTTTTTCCCACTCCTGGCAAGGACCAAAAATGTCATTTGAGGTTTCCCTCTGAAGGATGTTCGCAGAGAATGCGGCTGTAGAGAGCAGTCCTTTGAGGCTTGAGCCCAGGCTGTCTTAGGGAAACACATCCTTAGTGAGGTGCCTGGTTCTTGCCTCATCAAGCTTGCTTGTCATAATGGCCTGATAGGTCAGGCAGAATTTAAAGAAAAATCATGAAATTTTACGCTTAAGGCCTGGTTAGAGCAAAGAGATGCTCTGTCCCACCGTCTGGACTGGGATGGCTCGGCCACAATGACTCAGAACAAACCCGAAGGGCCCATGGTGTCCTGAGATACGGCTGCTGCTGCTAAGTCACTTCAGTTGTGTCTGACTCTATGCGACCCCACAGACAGCAGCCCACCAGGCTCCTCTGTCCAAGGGATTCTCCAGGCAAGAGTACTGGAGTGGGGTGCCATTGCAGTGAACGCAAAACAGAATTGCTTTTACTGCCATATAAAATCACCAGTAGTAGTAGATATCCAAGGCTGTCTTTATTTATTTTCCACCTTTCTAAGGCTGGAATTAGATATACAAAAACCCTTTCCCCTGGAGTTTTCCTCTTACTGTATCAGTGTAGATACAGAAAAACTTATATACTATAAAAACCAACCATAGGGACTTCCCTGGCTTTGTGTTCCCAATGCAGAGGCCTGAGTTCTATCCCTGGTCAGGGAATTAGATCCCACATGCCGCAACTAAGACCCAGCAAAGTAAAAAAAATAAATATCTTCTTAAAAACCAACCATAAAAAGTCATTTTTGAGGCAATCAGGTAATTCTGAATACAAGCAACTGGGTGATGACACCAAGGGATTATTAGTACCATTGAGGTGCCTGGATGGCTATGTGGTTATGTAGGAAAAAGTCTGTATTTTTTTAAAAAGTGCACATAAAGATATAAGGATGAAAATACATGTCTTGATTCTGAGCCGAGTGCGGTGCCAGCGCAGCGAGCTCTGTAGGCGGCGGCGGCCTGAGCTTCGAGGCAGCCCGCTTCCCTCCTCCCAGTTGCTTCGCTTCCCTTCCCCGCGGTCAGTATGGAAGCCTTCAGTCCAGTGAGGTCCGTTAGGAAAAGCAGCCTTTCAGACCACGGCCTGGGCGTCTCCCGGAGCCAAACCCCGGCGGACGACCCGATGAGCCTGCTGGACAACATGAACGACTGCTACTCCAAGCTCAAGGAGCTGGTGCCCAGTATCCCGCAAAACAAGAAGGTGAGCAAGATGGAAATCCTGCAGCACGTCATCGACTACATCTTGGACTTGCAGATCGTGCTGGACTCGCACCCCATCGTCAGCCTGCACCACCAGCGACCCAGACAGAGCCAGGCGTCCAGGACGCCGCTCACCACCCTCAACACCGACATCAGCATCCTGTCCTTGCAGGCTTCTGAATTCCCTTCTGAGTTAATGTCAAATGACAGCAAAGCGCTCTGTGGCTGAATAAATGGTGTTCATGACTTTTTTTTCCCCTTTGCACAACAACAACAACAAATCCACAGGCTCTTTTAAGGCGCTGAACTTATTTTTCAACCATTCACAAGGAGGACAACAAGTCAAATGGACCTTTAAAAAAAATGGAAGGAAAACTTAAGAATGATCAACTTCCCCAGGGTGTTTTCTGACCTGGACTGTGATATTAGTTATTTATGAAAAAGACTTTTAAATGCCCTTTCTGCAGTTGGAAGGTTTTCTTTATATACTATTCCCACCATGGGGAGCGAAAACATTAAAATCACAAGGAATTGCCCAATTTAAGCAGACTTTGCCTTTTTTCAAAGGTGGAGCGTGAATACCAGAAGGATCCAGTATTCAGTTACTTAAATGAAGTCTTTTGGTCAGAAATTACCTTTTTGACTCAAGCCTACTGAATACTGTGTACATATTTATATATAAATATATATATATTGAGTGAAACCTTGTGAACTCTTAGAGTTTTCTTGTATAGTGGCAGAAATGTACATTTCTGCATATAAAGTGTAATGATGTACTTATTCATGCTAAGCTTTTTATAAAAGTTTAGTTGTAAACTTAACCCTTTTATACAAAATAAATCAAGTGTGTTTATTGAAAAAAAAAAGAAAATACATGTCTTGAGTTCCTCTTAAATTAGCACAGCCAGAAGAGGAGAGTGAGTGGGGAGGGGAGGAGGAGAAAAGGACAGAAAGAAGAAGGGAGGGAACAGAGAAGAGGGAAGAAAAAAAAGGATAGATGAAGCAAGTTTAGCAAAATCCTGATAAATATTGAATCTGGATGATGATTTCTATGAGGGTTCATTATTGAGTTACTGTATTTTTTCTACTTTTGTGTATGTTTGAAAATTTCATGATAAATGCTATTTTAAAAATAAAAAGTCAAATTGCTTAACACAAATGACAATAATAGAAATCACCCTTTATATTTTTAGTCAGTTAAAATTAATAAAGTATCTTTCCATACTTCATTCTAGCATCACAAGAATTCTGAAAATAGCAAGACATACAAACAACCTAAGCATAAATTGATGGTGAGGAGATAAAGATGTGGTATACATATACAGTGGGGTATTCTTCAGTCATGAGAGAGATGGAAATCCTGCCATTTGCCACAACATGGATGAATCTAGAGGACATTACGCTAAGTGAAATGCAGAGAGAAACTAAAAAATTAAAAAGAAAAAAGAAAAAGCATTCTGTAAGATGATTATTTTTATTTTAGCTAGTAGTAGTCATAACAATAGTCACCCTATTTTACACGACTCTCAGAGAGCTTCAAGGCATGCTCAGTGTCATGTGACAAGAACCTGGGGCCAAAGTTCTTGTTGTGTGAAGGCAACTAAAGAACAGTGCTGTGCACTGAAACCAGATTCAGGTGTTCCAACTCTAAAGCCTGGGATCTTTACTCAAAACTCTGGTCTGTGTTTGGGGAGGGGGTAGTTAGTGTCATCATGTACCCCCTTGATTATCTGATGAAAGGTGGACACACTCTTAAAATTTACATTCAAGTTCAGGGACTTCCCTGGTGATCCAGTGGCTAAGAATTCATGTTCCCAATGCAGGGGACTCTGGATTCGATCCCTGGTCAGGGAACTAGATCCCACATACTGTGACTAAGAGTTCACGTGCCGCAACTAAAAATCCCGTGTGCTACAACTAAGACCTGGTACAGCCAAATAAAAATAAATAAATACATATTAAAAAATATGTACACCAGAAAATTTTACTTTAAAAAATCTTTTAAAAAGGAAAAATATATTGTTAAACAATTTACATTCAAGTTTAAGAAGGTCCGTGATTTCCCTGATGGCCAATCATGGCCTCCAAGTCAGAAAGCTGTGTCCGTCCTCATGGCTGAGCCCAATAAATGCAGTGAGCTGAGCCAGAAGCCACGTTAGAAACTCTTCCCCTCTCCTCCACATCCTAAGACTCCTATTTCATTATCACTGCCCCTGACCAAAACAACTACAGTGATCCATGCCCAGATGCTGGCATTCTGACTCCTTTCATAATTTTGACTTCAATCTACCTTTTAAACTTTATTTCTCACCCACGGTAGTGTTACCTTCAGGCTCTCCCTCCGACTCCCTCTCAAAGCCATACTTTAGGTCTTCCCTGGTGGCTCAGTGTGAAGAATCCACCTGCCAATGCAGGAGACATGGGTTTGATCCCTGGTGTAGGAAGATCCCACATGCTTTGGAGCAACTAAACCCATGTGCCACAAATATTGAGCTTGTGCTCTAGAACCTGGGAGCTGCAGCTACTGAACCCCACGTGCCACACCTACTGAAGCCTGTTCGCCCTAGAGCCCGTGCTCCTCAACAAGAGAAGCCACCACAATGAGAAGTCCATGCACTGCAACTACAGAAAAGCCTGTGCAGCACTGGAGATCCATCACAGCCAATTACAAAAAAAAAGTCACCCTTTATCTGTACTCACCTGGCCACATCTGGCTGTGTTGGGGTTCCCTGAGACAAGCTTTCACTCATGCCTCCTGGGGCTGCTCATGCTACCTTTTTTTTTTTTTTTTTTTAAGTGTAGTTGATTTACAACATGCTACCTGTTTAATTATTTTATTTTATTTTTCATGCTATCGCTTTTCACTGGGATTCTCAGCACAACCTGATCAGCATCTGCCAATATCTGATCCATCCCATGGGGTACAAACAACACCTTTCCCACAAAAACCATACCCGCTTCTACAATGGGCTGCTAAGAATAGTCTTTTCAAAGGTTTGAATCCTGGCCCTACCTTTGGGCTGTGTAACCCTGGGAAAGTCACTGAATCTCTCAGAGCCTCCATTACCTTGGTTAGGAACTAAAGAGAATGATGGCCCCCTCCTCGGGGGACCAATAAGATTGATTAGCCAGGCCCGGGTGCACAGCGAGCTCCCACATGGTGTCACTAGCATGAACAAGCATGGCCATGTGGCACTCTACCAACTCTCATATCCACTCAGGGCAGGGGTGACACTCCATGTCCAGCATCTTCAGTCGTGGTGCAGGCCCCCAGTCAGTCCCGACCCTTTAACTCAGCATCAGTGGAAGTTGCCTGAGTCCTCACCATGGACCTTTCTTGTATTCCTTCATGTAAATTTCACAACACGGTCCAGCAGGTACCATCATGATCCTCATCCTACAAAGGTGGTATCTGAGGCACAGAGAGGTCAGTTAATTTACCTCTAGCCACACAGCAAGTTAGTGACGGTAGGGCTGGGCACTCTGTCTAGAGAATTTCCAGCTTCTTTCTCTCACATGGGCTGATCTCTCCAGACTGTGAGAACCCATGGCACAATAGCTGTCTCTGGAATCATGACACTCTCCACGCTGCCTGAGGTAGGGCCTTGTAAACACAGCAGCCAACAAAGAATTACTGACTGAAGCATCAGTTCAGTTCAGTTCAGTTGCTCAGTCATGTCCTACTCTTTGCGACCCCATGAACTGCAGCACGCCAGGACTCCCTGTCCATCACCAACTCCCAGAGTCCACATAAATCCATGTCCATTGAGTTGGTGTGATGCCATCCAACAATATCATCCTCTGTCGTCCCCTTCTCCTCCTGCCCTTAATCTTTCCCAGCATCAGGGTCTTTTCAAATGAGTCAGCACTTCGCATCAGGTGGCCAAAGTATTGGAGTTTCACCTTCAACATCAGTCCTTCCAATGAACACCCAGGACTGATCTCCTTTAGGATGGACTGGTTGGATCTCCTTGCAGTCCAAGGGACTCTCAAGAGTCTTCTCCAACACCACAGTTCAAAAGCATCAATTCTTCAGTGCTCAGCTTT